AAAAAATCTATTTCTTATTGTGGATTGTGATCGAGTCTGGGAAAGCTACTACACTATTTAAACTCTTTAAGGGCCAACTCTTTTGAGCTCTGAATCTATAAAACAAAACATAGTACTTAATTCACATTCAGTCAATGTGCTGCATGTGCCCAACGTGATGCTTTTGTTCACTGAATCCTCAATCCAAGACCACATGAGATATTATCCCCCTACATCATAGAATGTAGGAAAAGTTGGCTGAGAAGAAGTGACCTGCCAGACGTGCCTAACTAGCAAGGGGCAGGAATACGACTCCCGTTTCTGAGTCGGCCTCATCCCCTACCCCATTCATCTCAGCAGCAGAATGAGAAAGGAGGTTTTAGAAGGACTTTGCAAACTGTAAAGATTCATCGTCATCTACGGTACCAAAGTTTATCTCTGCTTTTGCTTCCTTCTCTCATATTCATGTTCCTGGCACCACTGCCTGCCCACCTGAGAGTGGGGGCCTGGAGTGGCAAGGTCAGCGCCAGGGCCTGCTGGTCAAAGTGAGGCTTTTGTAGGGTCTGAAGAGATCTGGGAGGCCATTTCATCCATTCCCCTGTGCCCAGGCTGCAGTGGAACAAACCTCAATGCTAGGAGATGGGAATCTTTCATTCGACAAGAAGAAAATCTAACAAATTCGTGGCAGAGACCAAGCATGTTGAATTTACTCTTTCAGCCCTTTGAGACAGCATCAGGGGAGCTGGGAGCTGGTTCTTACTCCGCCCCCGTGTGTCCCTGGTATGGCACAGCCTCCTTCTGCACCCATTTCCTCCTGGGGGGCTGTCATCACTGAAATCTTCAAGAACTGGCACTCTTGCTGGTCTCTTCCCCCAAGTCCCCTCACCAGGGCAGAGACAAAGAACACCCCTGCCTTTCCCTACATCCTGGAGGAAGACGGCAACACACAAAAGAGCCACTGCTGGCTGAGCCACACCCCCAGGCAGAGGAAAACCAGGAAAGACTCTGCTGTGTGTTTATGAAATCCATGAGCAGCTGCTTCCTCTGCCTAACCCACAGCAATGGCGGCCTGGCCCTGCCCTGACCCCTCCCAGGGCCTGGTAATTTGCCATCTGCTTGAGGGTCAGGGAGGGGTGAGCAGATAGGCAAGTTGTCACCAGACAGGAAACGCACTGATGTCTGTTGCTTCATCAAGTCCCGGGGTTAGTCCAGGGGTGGGTATTGTGAGCCCAGCTGTAGAGTTCACAACTTGGTAGGGGTGACTGAGTATGTGTGTGTGCCTGTGTTTGCACTGGCCCGTCTGTGTGTGTCTGTGGCTCTGAGTGCTAGTGAGAGAGAAAGGATGTGTGCGTGTGTGTCCAGGTAGGACCAGGTCTGCCCGCTGCCTCTGGGTCTCTCTAGCCCTGCCTTGTGTACCTCCATCCACATGAGTAAAGATATACATCAGCATACAGGCCCTTGTGACCCAATGTGCTCGTGTCTCTGTGGTGAATCCATGACACTGTGCAGGTTGTCTGTCTGTGTGGGGTGCCCTTTTATGCCCTCTCTGGAAAGGGTTCAACTAGTGAGCAGTGGGAGAGGAAGCTGAACCTGCTCCTGCTTAGCATGTGATTTTTGTCTAGACATGTCCTGTGACAAGGCTTACTCTTTTCACAGACCTAGTAAGAGTGCCAGTAGAAGCACTCAGCAATCCTGACCCATTGCCCAGGGCTCTGCATGCAGAGATGAGGCCTGTAAAAGCAGCCTGAGTAGCACAGAGCTGGCTCTGTGTCAGACTGTCTGGTCAACACAGGCTTCCCTCTCTCCGTGCTACTTAATCCTTCTCTGTCCCCATTCCTCATCTCTTTAGTGAGACAATGGATGTAGGATTCAATAAAATATTTTGGGGGTACTGAAGATGATCTGTGTAAATTGCTTAACACAGTGGCTGGCACACTGAACTATCAATACATGCTAATGAATACATTATTTTTAGGTTTGGGGGGAGTCCACTGAAGCTTGGCTTATGGAGTGATCAGGCAGCATGGGGTTTTGGGGCTTCCTGGTCTTGTAATCTAACTGTGCTGCCTCTTCTCTGCCCTCCAAACCTAACTCAGGTGATGCCTCTGAGCATCAAGATCCATTTGATACAGCCCCATTCACAGCTGAGAAGAGAGCTTGGCTTTTTCCCAGGATTCCCTAGGACGGCCAGCTTTGATTCTTGGGGAGAAATTCTGCAGTGAGACAAAAGCAGAGCAGAGGCTACAGGCTCCGGCAAAGGGCCTTGTGATGTGCTGAACTGGTGAGGCAGCTGCCCTTCGTCGCCGCACAGCTCCCTCCCTCCGGGAACACCAGGTCTTCAGACAGCCCCTTGGTTCCCTGCACCCACCCCTGGCTTGATCTGATCTGGGGTCTTGAGCTTTCCTGTCCTCAATGCCAGGATGGCAGCTCTTACAGAAGGCAACGACCCACTGCGCCCTTTTCTCCAAGCTGAGCTTTCTCAAGCTCTTTTGCTGACAAGCTACAGCTTCTTGCCCCAGCCTCTCAATGGCCTAAATGAAGTAGATCACTCAGTGCTGGGCTTCCAAGCCAGTCAGAACCAGGAGCTCCTGGTGTCAGGCTGGTAGTAGCCATTTGGAGAAAGATAATAAATACAATCAAGTCCCTAACGTCAAGTGTTTGCAGTTAAGTGGGCAAAAGACAGGGAAAGATATTTATCATCCTTTTCCAAACCATTTTTTACACTGTAAAACAGGCTTTCAGATTCAAAGCAATGATTGGACCAGCATAGTGGGTTGGGAAGTCCCCTGTGACACCCTTAAATTATGCTCCTTAAACAGCAGTCTATGTGCTTCTACCTCAGGTTAACTCTAGCTGGCCTTCAACCCAAGGGGCCACCCCTCCTTGCCACGCACAGAGGCAAAGCTTTGGAGTCAGCAAGCATCTTGGGCACAGCTGTCCACTAGCTCTGACCTCAGACGACTTGAGTCATCTCTCTGAGCCTCAGTCACCTCATCTGTAAAATGGCTTCGTGTGCCTAAAAGGAGCCAATGGGTGAAGTATCTGGAGGAGACAGCATAGAGCAGCTGCTTTACAAAGGCTGGGCCAAATTCCTATCCTGGGTTAAAGTCAGCCAGAGCCAAACAGGGTAAAAGTCAGACCCCTTGTTTCTCTCTTAAATATAAATCCTGGTCCTCCTGGGCACTTTGTCTCATTGCACGTGGAGGGTGCTCTAGGATTTTAAAAAAGAGGAAGCCTACAAAGGATTCCCCCCAGCACCTTTAAGCTTTTTTAATTGGGGGTGCAGGAAACTCTAACTAGGGCAGTGGCACAAAGAAGGAAACACAATCACAGGTCCCCTGGGCTGACCTCCTACTGAGAGCAAAGCTCAGAAGGGCACAGTCAGCAAAGTGTTACCCTTTTGTGCAAACACTCATCCCCCACTGTCACTTTACATTAAGGGGCCAGGCATCAGAGAACAAGCTGGTCTGTGACAGCTGCTCTCATTATTGGTTTGCTCCCCCAATTTATCCCTTCTGGTCTTGACTAAAAAAAAAGAATCAAACCATCAAAACAGCCAGTCCTTTAGGCTAGGATTCCCACGGCGAGGCTGGCAAGCAGATGAGATTCTACTTTCTCCATGGTGACCCCTCTGATGGCCCCAACCACTGCCCTCTCCTTGCCCATGCACACAGTCTGACCCTCACCTGGATGCTGAAGCACCCTGTCTGTGTCTCCACTGCAGCCCACCTTGTACTCTAAATCCTGTACTTGGCCTGGTTGCATGAGCAGCCAGACCCGGACTTCCTTGGGAGCAACGGCTGTGCCTTCAAGAGAAGGTCCCTTACTGTTCTCAAGAAAGGGCAGATCAACTCCTTGACTCTAACTTCTTGTTGATCAAGCACATACTTGCTTACTGAGCCAGAGTCCCTGAGATGACTTGGTGAGACAGGGGAACATCTGTTCCATTCGGTCCCTGTCTCCGAGGAGCTTATCAATCTAAGGGGAGACACATATCGACAACTTCAACACAGTGTGTAACCGCTATCACACAGCAGAATGGACAGGTTACTGTAGGGTGCGTGGGGCTGCGGCCAGGCTTACAAATTAGGAAAGGACAAGGAGGGGCTGATCTGAACCTCTCTGTGTATATTGATTCTTATTGGCAATGAGCAAGGATTATACTAACAGCAATACAACCTACACGCGCACCACTTCACTTCCAGCCAGTAGCGGGATTCCTACTGAGCTGCCATGAGCTCCTGGGAAGGGCCCAGGAAAGCGCAATGCCAGAGAAGGTCCTCAGTCCCAGCAAGCAAGAGAAGCAGATTCCCTAGGAGATGGAGGCTCAGAGAGGAGGAAGAGCTTATGCCACCCTCAGAGGGAGTCAGGGATGACGTACATGATAAAGGTAACCCAGGCATTTGGGGCAAATCAGAACATGGCCCGTCCCAAGGCCATGCTCTAGGCAGCTCTGTGAAAAACAGCCTTCGGGGAGGGCTTGGCCTTCACCTACCCCTTCTTCTCCAAACAACACCAAGTTTCGGGTCTGCCCAAGTCACCCTAAAATAAAGGTCACAGGGGGAAGGGTAGCTGTTTTGCAAGAAGCTGAGAAGTTTTACCGAATAGTAAGCATCCACTGAGGCAGCATGTGAGCACTGAGTCAGGAACTTGGACTCTGCTGGTAACTTGACATGTGACCTGACAAGCTTCTTCCTCTCGTGAACCCTAAATGCCCTCATCAATAAAGTAAGCAAATTAGACAATATATAAGATATCTTTCAGCTGCAGCACTCCATGAGCCCAAATCTTACTTACATGTTTGTGAAGAAAGGTATTACAGACTCTTTTGGATTAAAATTCACAGGCTGGAAGGAAGCAGAAATTACCCTCATTTTACTGAAGGGGTCCTGGGGTGGGCAATTCTTCAGACACCAAGCAGAGAAGGGCATTGGAGCTCCCTGGCCTTGGTCACTGAGCTGGAAACATTTAACAAGCAGCCCAGGGCTCTGTTTGCATACGGAAAACAAAATGCTACTTACTATGCAGCAGGCCACCAAGGCTCCTTGAGCGAATCCTGCCAGGACATCGCCAGGATGGTGCTTGTGGTCAGATACGCGGGACAGTCCTGTGTAAAAGGCCATCATGATCAGGGTGAACTGCAGGAGGGGCCGGAGCAGGCGGGCACCTCGCCAAGTGAAGCGGGCTTGGAGGTACAGCTGGAGGAAGAGATAAAGGGAACAGATACTAAGCGACTTGGTTCACCTGCGTTATAACAAGGTTCACACACACTACATTTTCACTAAATGGAACCATGCGGCTGTTGAGCGGCATGTTGTAGAAAGAACACACAACTTGATTTTTAAAGCCAGTTATTTAAACCTTCAGCTTTAAGCTCCTGTACTAAAAAATAAGAAAAATAGAGCTTTTCTAGGGTGACAAACTAGAGAGCGGAGGAAGATAATACATGACAATGGTCTTAAAACTCCACCTGGCACATTCTAGACACTTCATAAACCTTAGCTCCCCTTTACCTTTTTGGTTGAAGAAAAGAATAGTAACCAGGGTTAGGAAAGGTTTCTTTTTTTGCAGCTGATGACAACTCATTTAATGCATCCATGCGTTTTCCTGGAGATGATGGCCATATGCCCCCTCTACTACCTGTCTCTCAGGATTCTCATTGAAATAAAGCAATGGTGAAAGGGGAGGCTGTCATGATAGTGACACTGGGATGCTTCCAGCTGCTTCAAAAGAAAGCAACTCTCTATCAAAGGATCAGTTTCTAAGTCGCTCCTTGGAACCGTGGATTTGAATATAAGGAAACACATAAACCAACCAGACAATGCCAGAGAGCTTTCAGGCAGAAGCTGACAGTCAGTGGACTGAGAGGAACCTGAAGAAAACTGGAAGAAAAAAAAAAAACCACCTCTGGCCAAAGCAAAGAAGCTGAAATGACGTCAGCTGGGCATTGTCCCTCGGAGTTATCTTGCTGCAGTTTCCGTTTTAACCTCTGGGCACAACCTACTTCCCAGGTTCCTGTGGGAACTTGGGAAATGAGGGGGAAGTGGCAGCGGGACAAGGGGAACTTCCGACTACAAATCAAAGAAAGCACTGGGCGAGACCAGGAGCAAGGGGAAGAGAGCAGAGGGGAGGGGGCTGATGGCCTAAAGATAGACCTGTGACAGTGGCAAAGGCCTGACTCTGCCCTTCCTGAGACAAATGGACACCTTCCTTTAGGGGAGCAGGAAAGAGCAAGCCAGGGGCCAGTCCTGGGGAGACAGATGAGTCGAAGATTACAGAGTCACTGTCGCCCATACGGGAAGAGTGCCTAATCCCAAATCTTCAACTACTCAAATATGATTTCAAAAAACCCAGGCCTGGAAAACAGCAGGCAACTTTATTATGATTATGAAATTACATGAATGTATTTTTGGGAAATCGAAGAATAACAAACAAACAAAAAAAGAGAATGCATTGATGTTGTTGGCTCCTACACAAATGATGAAAATCAATGGCACCTCATATATAAAAATAACCAGTTCAAAATCTAAATGAGATAAAATCATCAGAATAGCAGAGATGATTAAATAGTGATGAGCTCACTAAGAACTGAACTGCACAGGGCCCATATGCAGTAGGGAACATAAAGGACAATTTGAATAGCTAGAACTTTTACTTATGAGAATGCAGCTAGCTATAAGAATGCTCAACTTATAAACTCATAAGTTGATATGTAAGTTCAACCAGATTCCTATGAATGACCAAAAAAGACCTGGAGAAAAAACTTGAAACAAAAACAGTCACCCAAAAGGCCATATCTGTGGAACTCATCAGGAAAAAGAAATAAGCAAGCAAACAAACAACTAAGCCAGGCACTGGGGTAGGAGGACAGAGAAATGAGAAGTTGTGATTCTGCCCTATGTAGCAAACAGGTGGGAGAATACACAAAAACAAATAAATACACTATGGGTTTTATAGGAATTATGAAAGAAGTTGGGGCCAGGGTCAATTACTAAGGGGAAGGGACTCTTGAATCCTAAAGATGAAAAAGCACTTGCTAGGGGTTAAGGAGGCAGTAGTGAGAGGTGTGTATTTCAGGTTCTGCAATGGCTTAGAAGCTGGCGATCAGAATTTCAGCAAACTATACGTAGTTCCCATGCAGATGAAGGGGCGTGTGTGTTGGGGGTGGGGGGGTTGATGAGGAAACAAGGTATGGAGGCCAGCAGGGGTAATTCTGAAGGGCGGTGGGTGTCAAACTAAAGACCTTGGCCTTTATTTACTAAGTCAGTCTTTCCCAAACCATACTCCATGGAATACAAAACATCTTTTTAAAAAGGATTGATAAATGCTTTATACTATTTTCTTATTTTCGTCAGTTACAATACTCATCATTATTTTTACAGAATATCTACCTATTGAATCACAGTTGGGAAATGATGCGTCAGCAATGGTGAAACTTAGAATGGTTTTAAGCCAGGCACTCAGAACCATAAAAAGTAACCTCAGGCCAAAAGCCTCCCCTTCACTGAGGCTGAAAGGACCCTGCAGCGGCTTCTGTGATCAGAATCAAAAAATCCCTTCCTTCGGGGATTGGGGAGGATGAGAACGGTGGGGTAGCCTCAGGGAACTTGCATCGTGCCCAGTATGGTCTGGCCTTTCTCCAGCCAGTCTTAGCAGGGGTGGGGTGGGGAACAAAAAGAGCACAGGTTTTCATCAGAAAATCCTCACTGAGCCTGTTTTCTCACATATAAAATCAGTGTTAACAACCACTGTAGGTTGTTATCACAGATGGATGATAATGTCCATCAAGTGCCTGGTTACCATGTGCTACACATGGTACATGATACACAAATGATTTTATTCTCTGACCACATTTCTTAATTTGGACCTAGTAGTCCTGAGATTTTCTCATTTCCCTCAATTGAAAAATCTGCATGCTGTCAGAAAAAGCTTGTTCAAAGTCCACCAACTCTTCTGTGCAGATTTTAGGTCCTGGGCCTGGGAAATCAGGGTGGGGCAGAGGAAGGGTGGGCTTCCCAACCGGACAAGGCACCCATCTCCCCTTCCACTGACTCAGATGTAAGGCAGGAGCTTAACAGCAGAAAAAAATAAATACATGAGAGGAACTTGAGGAGAGAGGAAGGGACCAGTCATCAGAATAGCTGCAGGAAGGGAGTGCTTATGAATGAGAAAGGAGTAGGGGGCCCTGGGAAAAGAATCCCTTTGGGATGCAGTCAGATATAGAATGACAGTAGGCAGATGGGAGGGAGCTTGCTCCCCCAGATCCCTCAGTAACTAACACATCTACTGAGAAATGCCCCAGGATCTCAGGATTGATCCTGGGGTCTGCAGCTGGAGCTTCAGGGGAAACTTTGCACAGCAGCAGCACAGTGAATTCTGGGATGAGATAGCCCTGCCTCTAATCCTGGCTCCTCCACTTACTATGAGCATCATGGTCACTCAACTTCTTAAAGCCTGTCCCCTATCTGTGAAACAGGGAGAAGAGTAGCTCCCTCTCAGGGTTTCCAGGGTCAAGTGAGATAACACAGGATCTGTCCAGAGGGCGGGCACTCAAGGCACTCTTCAAAAATCTACATCACCCTTCTGCCGTGGTAAATGAGATTTACTCAATGACTGGTTGACTCCACCAGAACAAGAAAATATTTAAAGAAAGAGACTGAACACTGGCTATTACTATTTTGAGAAGTAAGCTGATGTTAAAGACTTTGAGGTTGTCGAAGGGATCTAGTAACTCCTTCCACTCCACCTCAATCTCACTGCTAAATGGGCCAGATTTTGGTGGTGCACAGCCCAGTTCACACGAGCCACTTCAGACCAGAGGCTTAGGCCTCACCAGGATCCCCGAGTACTTTCTGGAATACCCTGCTCCCTGGAAATCTGAGCCGGGGGAACACTGTGTGGGTCAGGAGGCTCTGTTCATTCCCACTCTGCAGAGGCAGTACCCCTTATCCAGGACAGGACGGCAAACCTCCTGACCACAGAGACCATCGTGGACCAAAGAGCAAAGACGCTTCCCCAGAACCTGAATTCCCATCGGCTTCAGCAAAGTCCTAGGCACCTGAACGGGTGGTTAGGAAAGGGGTGAGCATAGCTGTACAAAGCCAGAAAGTCGAGTCACCCTGACCGCTCCTAGTGGTCAGCAGCCTGATGCCCTGTCTCATCGGTCTTTACTTCCGCATCTGTGTGAAGGCCTCTGGGATGGGAGAACCCACTTCTGAATCATCAGTGCCATGGAGCAGAAAGTGTTCAACTTGCAGTCACAGCAACTAGGTTTGAATGTTTGCTGTGCTCCTGACCGGTTGTATGACCCTGGACAAGTCGCTCTGCTTCTCTGAACTTCTGCTTACTCCTAGATGACATAAGGAGGCTGGGTCATTCAAAAAACAATCTCACATCCTGAGCGTTTGTTCTATTCAAAACTGTTAAAGACACAGACATGAATAAAGTAAGTTCCTTCATGAAAAAAGACTATAATCTTAAAGTCCCTTTCTCGTCCTGAGATTTTTCTTCCAATTGCTAAAGTAAAACTGATTGTAAACATGAAGATTACAATAGAAAGGTACATGTCTGCCCTCCTCCAATGATGTGTGTGTGTGAGTCCCTGGCACACTGAACCCACTCCATAAATGGGGTTCTCCTCTCCATTCTGGTCCTCGCTTCAAAACTGAGGTCCTGTGGAACCCCAGCAAAACCTCCTCAGAAAGGTCTGACTGAATTCAAGCCGGCTTCTCTGGTCAGAACTGGCAGAGTCAGATGTGGGGTGAGTCACATGTGGTTCTTGCTAAGTCATCTGTGTTTTGCATACTGGTGAAACGGGTTTGCACGGTCCTTGCCCTTCATATCCATCCTCTTGGGGACCCTGTGCTAAGACTGGAAAGGAGGCTTTTGTCCTTCCTTGTGTCCCTGTCTGCCCTCCTGTCCAGCTTGCTGACCCCCACGGGGAGGACCGTTCCCCTTTCTCTCGTCTCTCCCAGGACTCATGCTTGGCTCGGTCCCATGCCCGGTGAACTTGTCTGTATGGCATAGAACTGGAATTTCTCTCTGGGAAGTTATTCAACTACTTTCAGGATGAAGGAAGAGCTTTTGGTTGACTTTTCTCCTCTTTCAGAGGGAATCAGATCTTGTTTTCTGTCACTCTCAGGGGTGAAAAAAACCTGCCAGTTTACTGAGCACTATTCTAGACACTGCACTGGGTGCT